TAAGTGTGGCCACAATGAGCACTGCAGTGCTGGAAATCCTGAGGAGATGAATGGTCTGAAATGCTGTTTCTGTCCCAAATGACGGGCACTCTGTGCTTTAGAGTAATGCCCACCTAGCATTAAGGTTCAGGGCATGAAACCCCTATCAAAGAATCATAGAATCATAGTCTGATTTAGGTTGAAAAAGACCTCTAAAACCATTAACACAGCACTGCCAAGCCCACCAATAAGCCATGTACCCAGGTGCCACATACACGTCTTTTAAATCCCTCCAGGGATGGTGACTCCACCACTTCCCCGGGCAGCTTCTTCCAATGCTTGACAACCCTTTCAGTGAAGAAATTTTTCCTAATTACCAACCTAAATCTCCCCCAGACAAACTGAGGCCATTTTCTCTTGTCCTGTCCCTTGTTACCTGGAGAAGAGAGCAACTCCCACATGCCTACAACCTCTTTTCAGGTAGTTGTAGAGAGCAATAAGGTCAACTCTGAGCCTTCTTTTCTTTAGGTTGAACACCCACAGCTCCCTCAGCTGCTCCTCATCAGACTTGTGCTCCAGATCCTTCCCCAGCTCTGTTGCCCTTGCCAAACTGGATTGGTCCAGCCAGTTCACTGTTTTCTTTGAGCTAACTGCTTGTAGCATTTGCATTGACCTGGTAGGGAGGATACTCTCTCAAGAAGTGAGAGAGCACATCCAATGCATTCTCAGATTGAGGAGACACCTGTTTAAGTGCCACAGAATTTTAGGAAACTAAGGTACTTTTGCAATAGACAGCTCTAGATGGTGGGATGTCTCAGAAGTTGATAAGTTGTCTGCAACACTGTAGTACAGCTCAATAATCTGCATTTGCTTAAGGTAAATTTAAATGCCTAAATATCTTTGTGATCATAGACCTTAATAACAAAGTTTGGCAACAAGTCACTGAGAAGCAGCATTTCTTCCCTGCCACAGTGGGGAAAAAAGGGCAGTCATAAAGTCAAATGCCATATCCTCAAAAAAACATGTTAGCTGTAGAAGTGATGAGAGGAGCTATGAAGAGGGTCAGACTACTAGATTTCTTGAGATATGATCATTCAAGTTCAGCCTCAGTCTCTGGTCAGGCCTTCTCTCTCACTCTTTTCAAAATGTTAAGTAAAACATCGTAACCTCCTACCTCTTTACTGAGTCCCAGCTTCCAGTTTCTAACTTGTATCATTAAATGTACAGCCCAGGATTTCATGTCTCCCCTGACAATTTAGGACCACCATATACAAAGTACTACTCCTTCTACTGCTCTTCTCCAGTGTACTTTTAAGGGTCTGAGGTAGAGCCTGGATGTCAACCATGCATAAAGCGAGTCATTATGAATAAGTGATGCAGAAGGAATCCTTATCTGCATGCAAGTCAATCTACAACCACTGTCAACTGCCCAGAAAGAGTCAGTACTTATTACACAGAGAACATAATTTCTATTGCTGCTTCATATATTCAACTTTGCAATGCTTCTAGTGTATATCATGCATGCCAGGATGTCAACTACCAAACAGAGAACAGTTTGAGAATCACTGATTTAAATTCGAGGAGAGTGAAGGACAACACCAGCTAACTTAATTCCTTTAATAATGATTTTGCATCCAAGCATAATACTGTTTTGATGGGCCTGGGATTGTACTGATGCATCACTGAGATCCCTCTGGTAAACGGTGCATTCCCCCAATGCAGATGACATGACTCACCTATTCATTCACTGCAGTCAGCAAATATGTCTTATGGTAAGTGGTGTGTTGCTTCTTAATTAGCTACAAATACTTGGTCCACTTTAAATAGGTCAAGAGTGAAACTATACCACCTACTGAGTTCTGTTTCACATTGCAGCACAGGCCACTTCCTTCTTCCCACTACACTCAGACAATAAGAGGTTAAGAGAGCTGTCCCATAATGGCTTCATTAGTTGCCAGCTAGGGCTCATTAAGAGGTGAAGGGAGATAGCCCACCAAAAGCCTGAGATACTGAGGATCTGTGATGGCAGACCCTGGAGAAACCAGGGTCAGTGCTTCCTTAATTACCTTTCTTGTACTAAGCATTGCCTTGGACTTATTAGCTGAACTGGGTTATAAAGACCTTTTTTGTATTTGCTTGTGCAACAGTACTAAGATGCAAAAAGGAGAGGATTGAATTCCCTCATGGAGAATTCAAAATGTCTCTTTTGCTGTTCAGTACAAGTTATCTCCAGGCTTATGTCTGCACTTTTCTCTAAGAGACCTTTTTTTTTTTATATTTGGGAATCTATCAGAAAAGTAGTGCATACTGAGGGAGGAGGAATCCCACAAAACTGTCCCTTGCATGAAAGGGTGAAGTATGTTTAAGAAGCATTTTTCCAGACTGAAAAATCTGAGATAGTATGGCAGCAGCCCTATCTCAAGATATATTGGTAGTGGGTAGACATGTAAAGCAAAAAAAACCCCCAAACATATAATTATTTCTTCCTACAATGCAGTTCAGAGTAGGAATCTCTCAAAAGAGATTGAATTATACAGCTTGTCTACGAGGACACAGGCTAAGTGGAATGAAAAAAGATAATATAAACACGAAACAGAAATCTCTGTAATATTATTATTTTGTGAAAATTGAGAGTTTTACGCAAAAATCTGTGTTTCTCTAAGATTACCACTAAGAGCAGGTGAAATCTACCTACTTAGCTGAAAGATGGAGTCTAAAGTTCAAAGAAAGTCTAGTGTTTCTTTCTACATACGACAATCCACAGACTTTCACCTACTGCTTCCATACTGCCCAATAACCTTCTAAATGAATACAGCATACAGCACTGCAGACAGGTACTAGTCTTGACTTCAAGGTGTTAAGAGCTGGAAAATCCACTGCACCTCTTCATATTCTTGGTTTTCAGATGATTATGCTGTTTGCAAAGTCTGCCTCTCCATGTAGTTTATGAAAGTGGCTGTCCCTGGCACTAGGCCATGTCAGCACAGTCCTATAGATTTCATTGGGACTGAACACAGTCCTAACGGCTTCGCTGAGCTGAGGGTGATTTATGCAAGTCCTTAGTTCGTTCCCTTAATAATTCTTCTGCTCTGTTTGGTCCTGTTTCATACAATAATGAAATCTGACCCCTTTAGTCCCTTCTACAAAACCTCCACCCCACTGGGTTGGGCAATGTGTTGCTACATGTAGTAGCATGCCTGCTCACTCTATTTTAATCATTCAAGAAGAGTACCACATATGCTGTAAGTAAATCTGTCTTTCGAATCAAGTCATCAATTCAGTGGAAAGGTCTGGGTTTGAAATGGAAATTTACAAATCACCTTAGCTGTGATTTTAGCTGTGAGGCACAATAACCTCAATGTTACAAGCACCTTGGTAAGGAAAAAGGTCTTGGAATGATGGTCAAGTTTGTCTCAAATAACCTCATGCTGCCAAAGAAAGTTTGCACTAGATGGATTTATAAAAGCAGTATAAGGAATGCTTATAAATCATCTGTACATGACCCTGCAGGTTAACAAAGGGAAAGTGAATTCTGTTTGTGTGTAGAAATAAACATTTTTCCAAATCCATCCCTGCAATCCCCAAACCTCCATACACATTCAGAATAATGACTCAATTATGAACTATGCTACAAAATCACTAGAAATACACGACTACCTTTCCCCTTATGGTGGCCTTATAAATAAACCCACAGAGTACGGAATTGAAGATGTTAATATGGGGAAAGGAAAAGCCTGGCACTAAATTTATCCTCCTTTCAATGCATGATAGCTTCTGTACCTACCTCTGCAAAAGTTTTGATCAACCTAGTTTCAGCCCCAGGCTCCTTCTGCTTATTCCTCAGTCCAGTCAATTTTATTTTATGACAAGCTTCTAACACCTAACCTAAATGATGATTGTCAAAAAGATCTTTTTTTTATATTCTTAGCACCAGTTTATTCAGTTTGCCCCATCCTTGGAAGTTACTCTCTTAAACTACTTGCAAGCAGCTAACCTGAATGTCTTTACTCATGATAGTGATTTCTCAGTGAAAATGTTGTTTCCATAATTTTTCTACTATATCCACTCTCCTAATAGCTTTTTTTTTGAGGCTGCTTTGCTGAAAACTCCTTTCATTTCATTGCTTATACTGAGCTGCCCTGGATTTTTGGCCTAGTTCCACTCCATCTGTGTAAGGTATAGAAGCTGTTATTGCTGCAGTCTCTTGTTTGTGAGCATAAAATACAGGACAAAAGCCAAAGGACTAATGTTCCATGGGTTCTGACTAGCATTTCTTAGTGTTTCTCTAAAAGCTAATTGCATTTGGAAGAAAAGGTTCCTGAATAGATTTTCTTTAGCCTTCAGTTCACATACCTGATGGAGATCTTGAGCAAGACGCCCATTCAGCAGAGGAATGAAGTTGCAGATTCAAAACCTCTACACAAAACTGCCCATAAAATGTGTCTTCTTGGTAGGTGCTTGTACTATTAAATACTTTTAATCAGTAAACTTATTTTTTACTTGATAGGGGATAGTATTTTAATATGAACCTCATGTGGCCCTCATCCTCCTCTAGCTGAGCCTAGAAAAGCATGGGCTTTGAATTCAGAAAGGAAAGGAGAACTGACAGACTGCCACCTCTTCCTTCTTGTTTACTGCCACCTCTTCTTGCTTACAGCCACCTAAAGATTATTTAGTCATCTCCTAAAAATCAAACCAGACCCTTTGGTGGCTACTGGGATTCACCAAGAACTAACATCAGAACAAGCAGTTATATGTAGACCATCAATTACATTCACAGCCATATGATGAACAATAGCAAGCCTAGATGGCTTTAATGTGGTTATTTATTGTATTACTCTATGCTCAGCAATGGAACAGAATTATTTATGTAGTTGAGCTATGGAATTTCTGCTTCCAGTCATGTCCTGCATGTGCTTCACTAGAACACATTTGTAGCACTTTTTTTGCAGATCTAAGTGCAAGAAGATTTTACAGTTTAACTAAAATAAAAACCAACAGTAAGTCACTGCTGACGTTACCAATTGAGCAATCATGTCCAGTCCAGTTGGGATCGCAGCTGCAGAGTCCAGTATCCGGGAGGAAGGTCCCATGGCCAGAGCACTGATCCAGACAAGTGGCTCTTGGGGTCTCACAATTTGTTCCTCCCCAGCCAACAGAGCAGTGACATTCTCCTCGCACGCACACACCTCGTCCTGAGCAGGTAGGATCCATGCAGTCCACTATATGTGAGGAGGAAGAGGAAGCAGACAGCAAGAGCAAATGGGAATTTCAGAAAAAAAGCCATCAGACTGCCATCTACACAAATGCACTTATATAATATCTCAAGGTTCCAACCAAAAAGCCCTACTGTGCACAAAACAGATGCTTCATCCAAGAAGTCAATGTCCCTAAAAGGCAGTGAGACCTAAAACACTTAAGTGAAAAACAGAGAAAAATTAATGATGAAATCTATTATTTTATCCAGGTCTGCACTAATAAATGATCCTTCCGGCAAGAACAGGCTAATATCAATTAAGAACAGAATAAGAATAGTATTCTCTTGTACAGATATTGTGCTTCCATTTATTCTGTTAGAGTAACCTAAATTACTATTACTAATGAATTTAAAGCTGAGTCCTAGTTTTCTGAGAGAGAATTTTGCGTAAAGATTCAGCAGAAGCTGACATTCTTATTCAGTAAAATACATGCTTAAATTGAAGAATACGCTTAAATCTATAGAGGTTTCACAGAGACTTACATAAATTTCACGTTAAATATATCCTTAGACAGTTTTCTGGAGTAAAGATTAAAACAAAATCATGTATTTTTTTATATTGGTGTTCTCCTCGTTTTATTTTTGATCAATTAATACTCTTTTTTAAATGTTTGGAGTTTATTTTCCCCCCCAAAGAGTCACTTTCCTAACAAGATAGGAGACTACCCAGTTAGGTATACAGCAATATACACCAAAAGACCAAATGTACTCTTGCCTGATTCCTGAGTTATGTGTTTTTTAGGTAACTGTCAGCTCCTCTGCCCACAGGGGAATTTCACCCAGCAATCGGAAATTTTTAATGCACCAGACACCCTTCCAAAAAAAAAAAAAAAAAAACAACTGGAGGAGGTGACTGTCTATTTATATATAAAAGCTGATAGGACAGCCTAGAGAAATTCTTCCCATCTCTTGTAACGGTGTGTGGCAGTGCCCTGGGGATTAGTGACAAGTGTCAGTCTGGCTAAGCAGCATAGGGAAAGCTGTCCAACTCCTGGCTCTGATACAGCAGAGCAGAACACGGCCACCGTACGCACAGCAGGCTTGTGGTTCAGTTTTTTGCCCCCTGTAAAAGCTAATAAGAATTCCACTGACCTGTTCAAGACACAGAAACCTTAAAAGGAAACACAACAGCTGCTCTGATAGTTCCCTGAATTCTCAAACCCTTCTCAATCTGACAAGTAATGGCTTAGTTATTACTATCCCAAGGCATGGGAGAGAATTTTCTTTTTTGTTTAATTCCTGGAGCTCTGCTCATAGCTGGAACAATCCTCGAAAATTGTAAGAGGCTGGAAAGGATGAGTCTATAAATCTCCTTCACTGTTAGCGAGCTGGGAGCTATGGTGCCAATTTTAGCATGAAACCCTTGAAGCCCTGGCCCTGTTCTTTCTCAGCAGTAATAAGTATGAAAAGGACTAAGGGATGGACTAGCAGCCTTGTCCATTCTCAGCAGATGGTTTGAACATAGGGAACAAAGTTCACAGGCTAACTGACAAGAGGCTACCTCCAGGCAATTAATCATCCCCTCTGAAGGTCAGCTGGGAAAAAGGTGAGTTTTACAGGGGCCTCCATCACAGGAGGCAGACAATCTGCTATCTCAGCTCTAACACAGACGATTATAGGAGGGGAATGTGCATGTCAGAACCCCCCATTTATCATAATCCCAAGGCCATTTTTCATGTTGAAATGAGCCCTTTCAGAAAATGTCACACACAATGGCTACTTTAATCTCAGCCTCACTAGCTGTATCTCTTTAGGCTTTCGGCACCATCGGAAGGGCCCTGGGACAGGATTACGGGCCTCTGCTTTCTTCTTAATCAATTGCTTAGTGGATTTGGAGTACAATGGTATATTTTTAGGGAGTTGTGCTTGACAAATTTAGCTGCTCAGCTCTAGGAGAAGTAGAGGTGGGGAGCTGGGCAGGAGGGCAGAGCTGACAAAACCTAGTATACCTGGAAAAAAAAAAAAAAAGCATATGTCTGTGTTGTTGGTTAGAAAATGTCCCAGATGGTAAAATTCCTGGTTGAAAAATGCCCCGTTTATAGTGCAGCCTTGTGCAGAATCTTTGCCAGGGAGATAAATCATGTAGCAAGCAAGGTTAGTGCCTCTTCTACACTTTTCCCCAATATGCTTCATGCTTCATTGGTCACACAAGTTATTAGGCTTATTCGGTGCCCAAAGAGTAACTTCTCATTTTTCACTGCTTAAATTTGCTCCCCTCCTTGTAATGTCTCACTGACTTAGCCCATGCCTTATAAAATATGGGCCAATAAACTAAGGAAGGAAAAAAGAAAAACTCGCGTAAGATTGTTGGCTGATGTTTTATAAACATTGCTGAACTTCTATGGGGAAAAAAGAAAAGACAGAAGAAACCCTTGGAATGAAAACCCACTATAAACATGGACCAAGCCGTGAAGCTACTAAGAAATAATAAAGAGTAATCAATACCAGATGGTCCTTCTTAGAAGAGAAATTAAAGAGTAAAAGCAATTTAAAAAACAGCATAAATCAACTTTTTTACTAGATCTAAATATATATATATATACATATATATATGTCCTCAAGATTTCCCACATGGCATATTTCTGAGTTTCTTCCCCCCTCACAATACAATACAAATTATGCCTTGAATATCAAAAACATGCATGCTTGGAAAAATACTAAACAGCCCATAAGAAAACCCATGTTCTCTTTGTTCTTCCTCCTTTTTCAAGTTTTGACCTACAGGGACTGACACTGTCCCCCGCTACAGTGATAATATAGAATAACTCAGTAGTGTCTGGCTTTTCTGCTTTAAATGAGACCAGGGAAAAAAAAGGTTCCTGTTAGAAAAAGGGCAAATCTCACTTCTCACTCTGATTTACACACATTAAACACTTCTGGCTGGAGGTAAAATCAGGATCTTTTAATTTCTGTTTATCCAGTAAAGATATGATCTAGTAAATAAGAAGCCTACATAGAAGCTTTAAAGCTACTTCAGTAGTCACCATCTTTGGGTTTTGCATGCCCCACAGCTTCACTGAATTGTGCTTTAAGCCAAAATGAAGCTTCCTCAAGAGATGTCTTATTGTTATAAGAGCTGATACTGTCTTCGTCTCTAACATTTACTGACACTGAAGCCATGTCCCACACCAATATGTTTAACACTTCAAAAGAATTGCCAGATTAGATGTCATTTGAATATCTGAATCCAATTCAGCCTATTTTCATTGTCCGTAAAATAAAGTCATTTCAGATAAATCTTTATCCCTCATAATAAAAACAACCATAAATTAATTCAAGCCATTGTTATTCTTAAACATGTGTCAAATAATGTTTTAAATCTCTCAGCTGGTGAAGAGGTCTTACACATGTACTTGTAGAAGCATAATTTAAGCACACTTATTTATCAAGTCACCTGCATAGAATTTTGAGAATAGTTTTCGAAAGTGTTGTACATTGTTCTTTAAATAAGGCACTTTTGGATGTATTTTTATAACTCCCTGAATGATTTATACACTTACAAAACTGTCCACTTTTTCATTTAGCAATAAGAAGCAGTCACAGGCTCAGGAAGATAAAGGTTTATGTTGGTAGGTGAGTTCCTACACAAAGAGATTAAAGATAAGTACTAAAAGGTACCGTATTTCTGAGCCATAAATCCAAATGTAAATGAAAAATGTTTGAGGGCTAATGTGAGAAAAAAAGCTATGGAAGAGCCATTAAAATAATATCAGATTTTGAAGCAGAATTTAATTCAAGTCCTGAGCATTTCTAAGCTTTTAAAGCTGACAAGAATCTCGGACTTCCTCTCACACGCCACCATTTTGTGTATGTAAGCAACTGAAATTGCTTGGCATAGCAAGCAGAGAAGAAAGCACGGTAAAATAATTATACGTTTAGATGTGTAAATGGAATCAATGCTTTAATAAGAACATTTGAACATATGATTAAATGTTCTGGTCTTTCAACTAGATGTGTCTATCTGAAACATTTGATGGCTTTTCATCCAATTATTGAACAAATATGATAGCTAACGATGAGTTATGACAACATATCATTTTTATGTTGCATCCATCTATTGTATCTCTAAGGTGCCTATTACTGTTCTGTTTAAGTGCCAGTCCGATTCTGAATTGCCTCCATCCATGCAATTACAGAACGACAATCAAAGCAAAGGGCTAATTGAATGTATCTTGCAAATACCTTCTTCACAGCTCTCGCCTTTGTATCCTGGGTTGCAGATACAGGTCCCCATGATGCACGTGCCATGGTTATTGCAGGAGACATCAATGCACTGGTTCGTTGGGACATCGCACTCTGCTCCCTTCCAGCCACTATGGCACAAGCACCTTCCCTTCATGTACTGCCCATTTCCACTGCACAGCACTGGGCAGGATGCTGGGGACAGACAACAAAAATCACATTAAAACAAAACTGTACATGGTTCTCACTTCAAAAAAGAGCACAAGAGTCCAGCATGTGATTTACAGTCTTCATATACAGTCTTCATTGGGGTATGTTCTTCTTTTCTTTGCCAAAACCAATTTTTTTACATGGATGACACACAGCTGTTGACTGTATTCTCTTGTAACAGTGCTCTTGAGTTGGAATACCTCCTCACTTTGTGTCTCTGATACCTTTTTTCACTAACTAAACTCAGCATTTTCTTGTATTCTGATTTTTCAATGTACTGGTGTCTTCTTTCAGCAGCATCACTTACTTTAGATTGCTTATTGCTATTCCTGACCTTCTGCCAGACTTCATACTTTCCTTGACACCGCCTCTGCTGCAGACCTTAGTAGCACACTTTATGGGTTTCAGTTGTTGTGCTCAGAGCCCAGAATGCCACACTGAGACTATTTCCCTGATATAGCTCATATTGTACCATCAACAATCAACTTTCTTCCCTGAAAGGCTTGTCAAGCACTGGAACAGGCTGCCTAGGGAAGCGACTCAGTCACCATCCCTGCTGGAATTTAAAAGACATGCAGATGTGGCATTTGGGGACATGGTTTAGTGGAGGACTTGGCAGTGCTGGGTTAATAGCTGAACTTGATGATAGAGTTTTAGAGGTCTTTTCCAACCTTAACAATTCTATGATTCTGATCGAAGCTCCAGCCCCCTTTTTTTGTTATCACCTCTCTGGACTCCATTCAACATCAGCCACAATGAAAAATTGGCCCCTACTCTTTCCAAGTTCCCTGTAATAAAAGCTCTACAAATCTATCCTCTGTATCAATTTATAGAGGATTTTTAATTGCCTTTGTTTCCAGCAAAGTCAGCTGACTCTCAAGGCCAACCAGATACAGGCTTTCTTCCCTGTGATAAAGAGAAGAAGAAGGTGATAAGCTCAAGCTGTGGCATGATGGATCCCAGGATTAAGTGTTTTCAGAGCTAAATTTGGAAAATGCCAGGCAGAGTGGGATGGGATGAACTGAAGGATACAGAGAAGGCTCCCCAAGGAAGGAGAGTGCATCAAGGACCAGACCCCAGCCTCCACGAACATAGCTTTGATAAGCACCGCTCTCCAAGCTTTCTCCAGCTTCTCTCAGATGATACCTTCCCCCTTTTCCATTTTCCACACCTGCCACCTTATGCTCCTTTTGTTCCCTGCTCTGATTTTTCCAAGGAAGATGCTGACTTCAGTCCCTCAGAAGGAACAGTCTTTCCCTGTTCCTATCCCTTGAAACTTCTTGCTTAAGCCCTGTTCTCTTCCATTTCATTTTGCTGAAACTCAGCTGCAAGGACATATATTGAACATTGACTTCTCTTGTTCACTGTTGCACATCAGCCTCAGGTGGGAGCAGCTGGGCTTCTCATCTGCCTCTCTGAAAGGCAATTTATGAACAATTTTATGCAGGACAAATGTGAAATGAATATTCCAGTCTGCTGCTTAATTCAACTGCATTAGGCATGTGATGAATACAGTATTTCTATTTTGCTTTGTTCCTGGCTCTGGTTAGGTGTGGGAAGAGGTATTAACATGGTTAAGGGAAACTTTCCTCTCCTTCTCTTCCCATCTTTTATACGATAATCTCACAGTGCACATCCTGAGTTGTTTCCATATGTCCTTATAGTCAAGTCAGTTTGAGTGTTACAGAACTAAAGCAGCTTCAATAAAATACAAAGCATTGCCAGCTCTGTTAAGCTAGTTTGATATGCAGTGAACTTTATTTGCCTGACCAAGATAAAAGAGGTTTAGAAAAGAAAGGAATTTGGCAACTGTTATTACTGGGGAGTAATAACAGTTCCCTGTTCACTTTAGAGGAAGCACATTGCAGTGGTGCACTGCAAGTGCATCATTTGCAAGCAGGTATCTACCTATATGAGACATAAATTGTTTAAGATACATTGTGTTGTGTACATAGTTCACAGCAAACTCACTCTGTAATTTCACTTTTCAGCTAAGATGATGAAATCTTCTGCCTCCCCATCTCAAATTTCAGTGCTCAGTAATGGACCTTGTTCTTTCAAGGCAGTGGCAGGGGATAGTTTGCAGCTCTTTTCAACAAGAAGAATGAATGATTGCCTTTAACCAACGAGAGGTTGCTGAGAAAGACTTACAGGTTTTCTGACAAGACAGCTGATCACAGTACCAGATCAGATAAATTACTGGCCATCTGCAATGAGACTGGCACTCTACAGAGCCTTCTGTGGAGAACACCTTAGGCATAACCTAGAAAGCGCTGCTGCAAGTGCTGCAAATGTCAAGGTAATGGCAAGAACAAGACCTCCTCTGTAGTATGCAATAATGAATAAAGAAAAAAGAGATTTCTGATTTTTTCCACTGTTACTTGTGCAACTCTCTTCCATATATAAATATGTATAATTATTATTTGATCATTCAGATTCCAACAAACAATGTTTAAGATGGCAAAATTATAGTAATTCTCTAGTGTGGTAATGATAGCAACAACCCAAATACACACCCTGTTTCTTGTAAAGTGTAGCATCAGAGAGTAAGATTGTTTGTTTGTTTACTTTACACAGAACTCGAAACCACCATCTCCCATGTCCAAGAAGACCTTTAAAAGGCCCATGAAATACACCTCTGGTGACTTGCTCTCATTTACTTTGTTTAAAATAATTGGTTAATAATACATTAATTATTAACTATTACTAAAAATAGAAAGGCTTCCTGTTCCAGAATTTTCCATTCCTTTGGATGGTAAATTACAAGGCTGAACTGAAACAAAGGAACAGACAGGAAATCCATGACCTAGAAATCTTCACGTGGGCAGGGACCTGCTTATTTAAGGATTACTGCTTCATACAGGGTCTGATAAATGGTTGCAGACGAATACTGTAGCAGCCTTACACATGCTGCCTTTGAGAGGTTTGTAGCTCAAAAGCAGCATCCTAGATGCCCCTCTAAACCAACAGGAAGCCAATGCTGGGGTCCTTGGATCTCACACTCATGGCAACATGATCCATTTAACAAGCCTACTGCGTGGAAATGCATACACAAATATTATTTTGACACTCCAGGTACTAATGTGTCTTCCTAAAGGCAGAAAGTAATCTGTGATCTGAACCCAGATGATTCTTAGCGAAAAGACAGAGTTGAATAACAGGTGTTGCTATCAGCCAAAGTGCTCTAGTGAAATGGGAGAGACTCACATGGCTCCATTGAAGAGCCTGAGAAAGCTCAGGATATAACCCACCAGGGGAGGTAAACTCCTCTGAAAGTGGATTCAGAACAAAAGTATTCTGACTCACAGTGAAGGAACTTCTCCTCTACAGCCTCTACAGGGAGGTTTGGGGGGAAACAAGCCCTGAACTTCTGCCCCTATTTGAAGTTAGGATGTGTGAGTTGGAATAGGCTGTGGGACATGGAAAAAAACCTCCTTTTGTTTCCAGCTCCAAGGATTTGAAAAGGAGCTTGGAAATGCAAACCAAGTGTAAGGAAATGCAAACCAAGTGTAACCTGAGTCAGCAAGAAGTTTGACAGAAGGGCTCTCAGGGATGCAGATTGCCACATCCATCTTACTGGGCTGCGAACTCTGAAACACCGCAGGGTTCAGCCTGGCCAACCCTGCCCCAGCGGGGAGCTCCCGCCTGCCCCGAGGGTGTGCAGCTCCTTATCTCTGTCTCCTGGCTGGGCTGCAGGGACGTGACCCTAGCTCAGCTGGAGAGGGAGAGAACTGGGGTTGGACAGAGTTTAGCTCTCTCTTGGGAAGCAGCCAGCCTGCTTTCTGAAGCAGCAGTGAGCTGGGGTGAAGTTTTGACCTGCTGTCTTAGCAAGCTCCTTGTGTGGGCACTAACTTTTTACACTACCTCCCTCCCCAAATTTATAAATCTGTACTTAGTTTTTTGGACTGTTTGAGCCAAAAAAGGCCTTGAAAAGGTTGATGTACAGTATTCTGGCATTTCCCACAAGCAAGGTTTTGATTTCTTGGCCTGAAATGTCTTCTTACTAAAAGTACTTCAGTTTGTTTTTTAAATGCTTAAATAACTTAAAAAATTCAGGTCATAGAAAATCCTTCTGAAGCCATTTATTAAAAATACTTATCACTTGAGCAGAGATATGTATTATATTGTGTACTGGGGTAAGCCTCCTTCCCTCCTCCCAGTCTTTTCACTTTTGGCCAGAGTATCCAGTTCTTCCTGCCATTACTCCACTCCTAGCCTTACTCCAACCCTGCCCCATTTCCCACAGCCAGGCTCAGGCAAACTTGCAAGGTACTTACTTACTTTTTGTATAATCAGTCTCTTAAAAGAAAGTATCATTACGGTGTTGTGCCACACCATGACAAGAGTGCTCTGCTAACAAACAATAATGACAGATTTATAAGTCATGTTTTCTAAAGTCACTTCAAGAGAGAAAATACCTGATGTGACATTTTGTCTACCCATAAGCAGCCTAAGGGGTGGTGTTGTTGCTAAGGGCACAGCACTCACGACAAGTACAGAATAATAGAATAGTTTAGGTTGGACAAGCCCTCCAAGATCATTGAGTCCAACTTTTAAACCAGCACTGCCAGTCCATCACTAAACAATGTCCCTAAGAGCCACATCTACACGTCTTCTGAACACTTTCAGAGATAGTGATTCTACCACTTCCCTGAGCAGTCTGTTCCAGTACCTGAAAAGCCTTTCAGTGAAGAAATTTTCCTAATATCCAACCTAGACCTCCTCTGAAATGACTGGAAGACATTTCCTCTTGTCCTTATTACTTTGGAGAAGAGGCTGACCCCCACCTGGCTACACCTTTCTTTTAGTTGTAGAGAGTGACAAAGTCTCTGCTGTGTCTCTTTTTCTCCAGGCTAAACAACCCCCAGCTCCCTCAGCTGCTCCCTCAGCTGAAATTGTAGCAAACATATTTGTAGCAAACAAATTCGGAGATCCAACCTATTCCCATCCTACTGCAGCATCCTCAAGCTGGGTGAGAAGCACTTTGAAAAGGCACAGGCATGAATATAATTTCCACAAGAAAATGTTAATGGAAGGGGAAAGGGAAACAGTTTATCAAGTATAAATTCCCACCTCTGCCGCAGTCAGGGCCCAGAAAGCCAAGGAAGCAATGGCAAGTCCCAGACACGCAGTCTCCATTCCCATAACAGTTACTGGGACAGTTATCCACTGATTCTGGAAAACAAAAGAGAATTCAGGTACTTCTTTTGGCAAGAAAACACCTCTGAGTTTGGGAGGGCTCTCGATGGCAGGACAGCTGAAACTTCAAAGCCACTGCTGCACTTGGAGCCGAAAGCATTAGTCTGAGCTCAGCTAAACAATGCTCATCCATTTACAGCAATAGAGGGTTCAACTGGAAATCTTATGATTAAATATGAGCTGTCCACTAAGCTTTGTTCTCACTCAGTACCCGAAAACTTCTAAATGTCTTTTCTTCCTGCGTACTTTTACAATGATTTTTCCTCTTTGAATTTATTGGAGAGAACCAATACACACCATTCTCATGGCAGGATACATACCTTTGGTCCAATTTTGTTGACCTGGGTAAGTGGCCTTGGGGCATTTATTTGTGCCAAAAAGAGCTGAGCTATAATAGAAATGTTCCCCTATGAATTTACTGAACACAGACCCTTGATTCATCCTGTCTGCCTGTTCAAGGAATATTTCTAACCAATTTCTTCTCGTTTGTTCTGCAATATTATATAGAATATAACACATTATAAATTATATAATATATAATTTATAATATTTATTATAATATTTATAATTTATTATATAAATTATATAATATATAATTTATACTATATATTTAACAGGTCACAGATCTGGGCATAATATTGTATCTTGGTGGAACAGGAATGGGACTATTCCACACTTTCTTCTGTTCCCAGTTGTCATCTTAAATTCCCTGACTCTGACAAAAACACCAGCTATTCATTTTTCAAGGAAAGTTAACAGGTAAATAAAATGATACCTGGCACTTCTGAGGACAGTTCACAATACTGGGGCTAAAACATATTTTTCATAAAAGAACAATACAGGCTGGTAAACACATCAAAAAGAGAATGAAAATGTTATTTTCTTGACTAAATTGTGAGTGAAGACTGAGTAAATGTGAGTGGGGCTTTGAAAGTTGTTGTAACACCATGGTTCATTCCACACTGCTATTTCACATTTTCTCCAAGGAAGATGCATATCAGATGAGAATGGGATTTGGTTATACAGGAGGGGCACTGGTGGTACATCTACCATAGAGTGGGGTGAAAATCTCTGCCCTGTGAATAATGACTGCACTTTCACACACGTACTTCACGAGGCCTCCTGGTAGCAAAGATATTTGTAAACTCCCAATCAGTGCAAATGAAGAGAACCAGTAGTAGCAGTGATGTGCAGATCAGCTTCTAATCACAAATGAAAGGAAGCCTGTTTCTGGATGGGTGTTCTCCAAAGAGCAGAGGTTTCTGAAGGACATTTTAAAGGATGTGGTGTAATTTAATCATTCATGAAGGGTAACAGTAATTTTAAATAGTAAAACCAGTTTAAAGCATTTATGTTTTAGGTCCTGGCATCAGACAGCTCCATACAGCAAGGAAGGTACATGGAAGTGCTGTCAGTTTTCTAACACTTAAGCTCTATAGTTAAGCAGATATTCACTTGATGGTGTATAGAAAAACAGTCACAGCACGTAGTCAACACTTCAGGCTTGAGCTGTCATCTTTATTCCAATCAAAGAACAGCCATGCTTCCTAGAATAAAGAAATAATGACTCAGGCCTTGTGCATTTATACTGATATTTGGAAATGCTATCTCTCATTGCACAGCAAGTATAAACAGAAATCTATCCTGTAAATGAAAAGCTGATATTAGCCCATGTGTATACAACCTTCAGAACTTCGTGATGGTTTAATGTCACTGCTGAAAATAAAAATAAATTTACTTTATGCCTTTTTTTCCTCTATGCTTTTTAAAAAAAGTTTATGTTTTCTTGTCTTCAATAAATAAATGCAGAAATTTAGGAAAAAGAAGTTATTTGTGCACATACACATACTTACACTTATGAAGAACAGTGTGAGTATTGTGAAACAAGATAATGAGACAGGTAAGGAGATTGAACTGCTCCTGTTGCTGAAAGGGTCAGTCCTTTTCCTCTAATCCTCTCATCCTAGGAACAACTTTAAGCTCCCTCTTCTTGTGCTGGTTCTGGCACTTGTCAGACTCTTCAGTGAGTTGGTTAAGCTCAAAAGGTGGCAAAAAAAATGAATGCAGCAGAGAAAAAAACCTAGTGAATTTTTTTTTCTACTGCCTGAAAACCAGGAAGAGGAGAAGGGCCACACTATTGAGCATCAATGCAGTATGTAGCTGTCCCATGGTACCTCATCATCACACTGCCATGTTGGGTTGGGGTCTGCCAGCTGTAGCAACACTGTGTAGATGTAACACACACACAACCTTTGAAGTCATAGGGAATACCTATGTCAGCTTGATGCAGGACAGACTCCCAGTGTTATGACAACAACTTCAGTATATTAAAAAACTAAAAACTAAAAAAAACTTTTTTCCAAGCTTTGCTTTAAAGGAATAAATTGAGTCCCTGAAAAGAAGTAAAATATCTATATCGCTTTCTTGGTATATTTATGTAATATAATAAATTATATTTATGCAAAATAATAAAAAGGCAAAGAAACATCTAAAAAACATCTAAAAAGCAATGTAACATCAGACACAGCAGCTGTTCTAAAGTGTGACAATGCATCAGATCAAATAAATGGTAATCTTTGTTACTGGAAACAATATTTTACATTACAACAGGGCTCAGCTGGTGTGTCTGTGATACTTAGGGCAAGATGGGCAAGATGCTGTATACCAATTAGATGTTCACTACAGATTAAACTGTCCACTATACTGGCTATGTATAAAGAGATTTAGAAGTTCAGAGGGACCACAGGAACAGAGCTTACCTGTGCTTAGGTAACCAACTTTTCCTGAATCTCAGGGTGAATCCATTTACTTGTCTTTACTCTGGTGGTGCATCCTTTCCTCCTCTGACTAGTTCAGCAAAGACACCTGTAACTGGTCAGATCCCATCGACAGTGACAACACTAATGCAGGTCAAAAAAATATTCACATCTATTTTGTGTTCATCTGCAGATCTCCCATTTTTCTTTGCAAAATGACGGTGATGTGCACACATATCACTTAATTTATCACTATCTCCTCAACATTTGATTTCCCAGACTCTTCTTTGCAAGTGTGGCCAAACTGCTTGATACTAGATAGTGACTAACTCGAAAGGAACTACAAAACAGGTGGATGAAATCCATTGCACCTTCTTTAACTGAAGCACCTCAGTAGCTCTTAACTGTGGCCTGAATACCCTACACTATTAATAATAGACCAAGCCCTTAAAAATCCTTTCATCCTATTTCACTGATTTCTCTGATGCACCTTGTTTTTCTAACATAGCCAAAAGTAACATTTCTAACATGTTCTTATTTTACTACTTCTCTTTGCCCTGGAATAACCTGCTTGATAGAGAGGAGATGAAGTGAAAAGAAACTCTTCTCCCCTTTGCCACTTGCTGTTTTTTAGCAGTTAAGGATACAAACTTGCCTGGTGTGACTCAGGCAATTACGATCTCACACTCCCAAAGTTCTTCACTACTGAGAATGAATTCTGAAAAGCGATGAAGATTCATGCAGTGCATCTTTGTCTCAAATCTGTTCCCAAACAGCTCCAAAGTATTTCCTTAAAGGAAGTGTTAAATGAACCTACTTTTTTTCTCAGGAACTCCAGAGCTGATGAGCACAAACAAGGCTGAGACTGAGGCTTTAGAGCACCAAGTCTGTGAGTTGTGTGTGCAACACTAAGCATGCTCCTATTTACTTTCTTAGGCACAATCAGAAACTGGAATTTCTTTTTACTTTGAAGGTCGCAGTCATTAGTAAGTCATGCTCACTTAAGATATCTCATAAAAACCTCTGTTTTCATCCCAGGACTGATTGTCTTTCAGTGCCACTTTGGCACCTGAGTCAGTTTTCTGTCCCTTCTGGCATGTATACACTTAAACATACCCATGCACACTGCTCCAATACCTACATTTCAAACTAAACAGGTGGAGGTGGGTGACCTGGCACCAGAAATTAGGGAGTCATGATGGGAGAATACTAGAAAGAACAAAGAAGCAAACAGATAAATTTTCAGAAGCTAGGACTTAAAAAAATTATTATGACGTGGGGCTTAGATGATAGAAGAGACTAAACTTTAACATCTAGGGAGACTCTAAGCTGGTGGCACAAAGCAACTGCCTGTCTTTTTAGTATGCTTACATTTAACATTGCTAAAGAGGTGACAAACTATCAATCAATAAATAAAAACAGGTCACTGCAGTTGTGGCTGGGTTCTAGTCTCCTTTATACAGCTTATTCTGTAAGCTGTTCACATAATTATAAGGATATTTTCCAATATGTACAAAATTCCATATGGTGTTTTATGAATAGTGCCATGGGAACTGCTTTAGAGAATCATGACAATGTTTTGTTTCATTTTATTTAATTGTTAAAGTTCACTGTGAGACCACGGACAATTCTTTTTTAGAAAGCTATATATATGTTCTCTGTTTTCAGTCTGATTCCCACAGTTTTCTCTTGGGTTCCAAATCTCTCAAGAGATCTGATGGACACCAGCCGGTAGAGGCAGAGATTAATAACTGGAGGGTCAGCCAATGGAGGATGCATGATGCCTTCATATGGTCTTGTTGTTGTGTCCAAAGAGAGCATTGAAAACACAGTTTCCATGACACCTTTCAATCACCAATGGCTGTAGGAGTGAAAGTCTTTAAATCAAACAACTGACACTGGGGACAGATCTGCAGAGGCAGTGGGGCTTCTAATAGGGAATGCAGAAGCTTGTGTACAGAAGTAAGTGTTCTGCCATCTTCACAATCCAATTAGCAACAGAAAAAAACAATTCATTTCATAGAATCACAGAATCATAGAACAGTTTGGGTTGGAAGAGACCATAAACACCATCCAGTTCAACCCCCCTGCCAGCAGACCAGGTTGCTCAGAGCCCCATCCAACCTGTCCATGAAGACCTCCAGGGATGGGTCATCCATCCACAACTTTTCTGGGCAACCTGTGCCAGTGCCTCGCCACCCTCACAGTGAGGAATTTCTT